CCTGCTGTCTGATGTGAAAGTTTGAGCTGTGAGGCTTGGAAGTTATGCAGCTCCAGCTGTATCCAATTACACAATTTTTGTCCACTTTGATTTCTCTCAGCTAGCTTTCTTATAGAAGAGTTCAAGTATATCCAAGCTCTGTGTGTGTCTATACACAGCACTGTTTGGACAATTTTCATTCTTGGCATAAACAGACAAATACAGAAAATCTGTGGTAGATGGCCCATCTTCCCGCTCCTTTCAGCTGCCTTTTGGGGTGGAGTGAGAGCTCTTAAGCGTTATGAGTAGTAAGATACATCATCATCTTATCTCCATCTCTTCTGGGACACGGCTTGCCATCTTTGAGGTTCTGTCCTTTTCCCTTGCTCCCTTTCGCTTTGGTTAGGGAAGGCTTACGCTGCACAATGACACCTGCTGAAACAAGGAGATGATGGTTTGGGCGTCAGGTGGCGTCCTTGTTATAGCAACAGTTTCTGTGCTCCACGGATCCTCTCTATTGCCTTGGGAGAAACTTGTATTACTGGCAGATGCATCTTGCCTTGCATAGCAATTAGTGCTGTGCATCCAGTGAAACTCCTAGTACTGACAGTTCTGTACCTTGTCTTCCTGGCTAGAGATTACTGCTGGCCCTGGATCACCTTGTACCATCCTCTGGGAAGAGGCTTGCTTCTGAAACTAACCTTATCTCTGCAGCGCTCTAGGGATTTTGCAGTCTATTATACAATGCAAAATTATGTGTTGTCCCATCTTCACCACTGGTTTATGTTCAGTCAGCTGCTTAATCTACTCAGGGGGACAATAGGGCCTTTTTAGCCCCAGCTGTTATAGGTTCTTACCTAATTACAGAACCTAACAGCATTCCCACTTGGACTATTTGGCTATACAGAAAAATGTGGTGGGTTGATCCAGCTGCTTGCTCACACCTACCCCAGCAGGCTGGGGAAGAGAATTGGAAGGGTAAAAGCAAGAAAACTCATGGATAGAGATGAACACAGTTTAATAGGTAAAGCGAAGCTGTGCACACAAAGCAAAATAAGGAATTCATTCACTACTTCCCCTGAGTGGACAGGACCTCAGCACACCAACAGTTACTTAGAAAAACAAATGCCATAACCACAAATGTTCCCCCCCTCCATTCATTCCCTGAGCCAATGTCGCATGTCATATGGTGTGGTGGGTTTGACCCTGGCTGGACACCAGGTGCCCACCAAGCTGCTCTGTCACTCCCCTGCAATGGGATGGGGGGGGGGGGGAATACAACAAAAGACTTCTGGGTAGAGATAAGAACAGGGAGAGGTCACTCATCAATTACAGTCATGAGCAAAACAGACTAGACTTGAGGAAATAAATTTAATTTATTGCCAATCACAATCAGAGTAGGGTAATGAGAAATAAAACCAAATCTTAAAACACCTTCCCCCCCATGCCTCCCTTCAAGAGGTTGGGAGGGGACACATCTGGGACAGCTGACCCAGACTGACCAAAGGGTTATTCTATACCATATGTGTTGGGTTCATGTGGCATGGAAAGGTTTTGGTAGCAGAGGGGCTATGGGGGTGGCTTCTGTGAGAAGCTACTAGAAGCTTCACCTGTGTCCAACAGAGCAAATGCCACATGGCTCCAAGATGGACCTGCTGCTAGCCAAGGTTGAGCCAATCAGTGACAGCTGTAGCACCTTTGCAATAACATGTTTAAGAAGGGGAAAAAAACTGCTTCACAACAGCAGCTGGAAGAGAGGAATGAGAATATGAGAGAAACAACTCTGCAGACACCAAGGTCAGTGAAGAAGGAGGGGGAGGCACCACAGCTGAGATTTCCCTGCAGCCCATGGTAAAGACCA